GATTGGCTGCTTAGAAATTAGGTGTTAACGAGCAGTTGGACAGGTGTACCTAATAAAGTGGCCGGTGAGTGTATAATCGTGAGTCTGTTCATAAAAAATAAAAGCATAATCAATTACACTCTAAAACAATAAAGACTGGCGTCACACGTGCAGCGGTACAGAGAACCAGGAGCTTTGGAAACAGCATCTAACGATCTGCAGGAGCATCTCAGTGCTGCTGGGATTAGTAGTAGACAGCTTGGAAGGTACTTCTGCAGGGAGAACATATTTCTCGTTCTATTACACTAGACGCTTGGAAACAAAGTCCAGTGGATTGTTTTATTTTTTTTACTTTTTTGGAATGACTATGACCTGGATGACTGAGAATCTTCACCAGAACCTGAGCTATTGGAGGAACGTCTGAAGGGAGGAAGGGCTCCATTATTAGGATCATTTTATATCTTCCTTAGGGAGCACTGTCATCATACTAATAAAAGAGGTCAGAGTTTCAGTCTGTCCTGCAACGCTATACTTCAAAAAACTGGAGAATTAAGTTAAAGTTAAAAGGAAAGAAATAGCTGTGGAAAAACAATAAACGAACAAATTAATATCAGACAGAGTGAGATCATAAGAATGAAGACAAAGGAGATGTTTAAAAAAAGATGGCAATAAAAAAAAAGATCCTACTGAGGCCCCTTGTCCTATAACTCAGTGAGGACAGATGGGACATGTTGGACAACACATTCTACCTGATGGCCTCCCTGCTGGAATCACATTTTCCATCCTCAGACCTCAGCAGAGATGGAGCGAGGAGACAGAATGATGACTGGACTTCATGTCTTAAATCTCTCTGCGGAGTTTAGATCAGTTTGATCCCAGCTGCTCGGTTTACAGCTCTCCACTGACCCTGGACAGCTAAGGCCTCACTTCTGTCATGTAGAATGACCAATACATCAAGCTAACCTTTTATTTATAAAACATTTCATTCTAAAAGTCCTATAATGCAGCCTTTATGCAAAGTCAATACCTAACATATAGATAA